TCATGAGGGAGTTTTTCCTTTCCACTGTCGCCTTCATGCTTGCTCAATATGAGTTCTGTGATGGAGTTAAATTCAAAGCAGTCTGCTCCTCAGATAAATAATGTTAAACTGTTTAAATATATATATATGAATGTTTCTGTTCAGTGCCCTGAGATGACTTCTGTTGTGACTTGGAGCTATATAAATAAACTGAATTGAACTGAATTCAGCTCATTTTTCTTTCCATTTTTTTCTCTGAAGATCAAAATTTAAAAAAAAAAAAAACAATAAAAAAAAAAAACAAGTGAAGGTGCTGACAGACAACAGGAAGTAACGTCTGTGTAAGAATCTGTGTTTATGTCTTGAGATCTTTGTGTTTTCTTGCGTCATTCTGCTCAGCCTTCCTAGTGTGTTCCCCCCCATGTAATCCGCTCCTGCCGCTCTCACCTGATCCTCATCGTCTTTCCCCAGGTGTTGGCCATTGCGTCTCGTTAGCGTCCCTTTAAGTTTAGCGTCTGTGTTTCCACCTTGTCCGTAGATTGTGCTTCCCAAGCCATCGTGTTCAGCTTCCTCTGCGTCTCCCGGAATTGATCACTTTCGCTGCCATGTCAGATTTTTGTTTTTGTGTTTTCTTAAATAAATCAGTTTTCTTTGTTTTTACCCTCGAGTTCCTCGCGTCAGTCTGCACTCTGGGTTCAACACTTTGCTAAACATGCTAGTCTGATGTTATGTCTCATGAGGTCTGTTTGTGTTGTTCAAACCAGAAAAGTGAAACCCAATTTCAAAATGAGGATGCTTAGTCTTTATTTCCAGGCCACATGGCTCAAACGGTGATTATAATCAGAATTTGAACACTGGGACACAGCAGATGGACACAGACACCGTGGAAGAGAGAAATAATCACCTTCTCTCCTTCCACTTCCCACCTCCTGTTGCTGAGGAGGACAGAGTTAAATATACGGTAAGCCAGAAGGGCCAGATTTCACAGTCCTGCACAGATATAGCCTCTCAGCTGGTGACTACCACCATCATACTTTACAGTAAACAGGAGCCAGGACTGGGTCAAATCGCCACAAACAAAGCGAGGACAGTTGCTGGAAACTCAAATAACCTCGTTGGTTTTCGAATGGAACTCATTTTTGTGGAAACCATCAGCTGAGTTCTGGAGAACAGGTTTGTCTTTTCAGAGAGGTTAAGAGTTCCTCTTCAGTTTTCTTCCATTTGACAAGCTCTGAGTTCACTTAGGTTTCCACCATCAACTACAAGCTGGTTTGTGATGCAGGTTTTTTCCCCAGGTAGGACACAAAACGCTTGTTTTGAACCAAAACATAACAACAAACCGAGAGTAAAAACTCTGTACTAAACCAACATTGCTTCAGAAGAGTTTCCACACAGGAAACCAGTAGAGGAGATAAACGCCCACAACAAGTTCTTCTTCTCTCATTCTATTAACCGTTGCATCAAACTTAGACAAGCAGATGCCCGATTATTTTATTGTAAATTGTTTCTGCTGATGAAGGCAGCCATATGATGATGTCATGAACAGCAGATACAAACATAAACGCAGCTGTTTCCAGACGTGTCTACTTCAACATTTAACGCTTTTTAACAAGCTGCAGATCTGATGCCGACAGACTGAAGTGTTTCCTCTTACTCTGCATTCAAAACAACAAAACAAACAAAAAAATAGGGATGCACAATATTGGATTTTTGCCGATATCCGATATGCCAATATGTTGAAGCTTATTTGGCCGATAACCGATGCCAATACCGATATTTTTCCCCTAGACCTATTTACAGAGACTACATAGCTTTCTCTGCTGTGGGATTAAAATAGGACATTATTCTGCATTAGAGCTGTCATTTCGAACCCGGGCCTGCACCCAGCCCGACCCGAAATTCGAGCTGGGCCAAAAAAATGTGCTGGATGGGCAGGCTGGATCGTGTCGGGCTTTTGATTGCATCAGCGGACGTGCATGGCTGACGATCCAATTTGGATCACCTGCCGAGCGCGGCCATTTGATGGCGCGCTAACCGGCCGGTTGAAAGAGGTGAAGAAAAGTCCAGATGGTTCACTGCCAGTGACCCACCTGAAGCTAGGACTGTCACAATAACAAATTTTGCTGGGCGATTAATTGTCTCAGAAATTATTGCGATAAACGATAATATTGTTTGAAATTTAGCAATAATTATTTGTCAAATTTTAAAAGAAATGTTGATTTGTTTGGTCTGCAGTACCTTATTTGACCACCTGATGGCAGTATAAGACTGTTTGAACCAAAGGATGGATAGCTGAGCAGCGTGTCTCTTTAAGAAAAATGGGAGGGGCTTTGACGTGACATGGGCTGTCATGGTAACATGCTCGGTGGTTTGAGCTCTTTAGCATAGCATTTTTCACACAAAGCTTTTAATGAAAAACAGTAAACAAGTTCTCAGCTTCTTTTTGCAGAGAAAAACAACTTTTTACACGAAGGCACAGGTTTCAACCGTGAATTTTGGAACTCGGCAAGACGGAGGTTTATTCCCGGGGTCGGCCTCTTAGCTTAGCTCATAGCTTAGCTTCTCAACTTAGCTGCTTTTAAGGATCCAAAAAAGTGATTTTGGATGGTTAAAATAGATTTTAAAGAGAAAGGGAGGGGTCAGTGAAGAGCACCGGAGTTGAAACTTTTGTCATCCAGTGACTTCCGTAGAAAAAGAGACACACGAAGAAACGATAAAGCCGGTAAATTAAAATGTGGTAGATAATTTTCGTTCATCATGCGATTAACTGATTTATTGTTCATCACGACAGGTCTACCTGAAGCTTAACTGGACTCAGCCGTTGCATCAGCAGACGTGCGCGGCCGACGATCAAATTTGGGTCATCAGTCGCGCGCGTCCGCCGACCGTTAATAACTTTAATAACTATAACATTATAATAACTATAATAATCCACTGACTCTTGTTAATAAACAAGAACTCTTTTATCTTCCTTTCTTTGAAATATGTTTTAAAATCATGTCAAACTGATTTGCTTACAAAAACAGTAAAAACTTAAACTTTTTTTTTTTCCCGGGTTCGGGCCTGTAATCACAGTTAATTGGTCGGTTTCGGGTCGGGCTTGGAAAAAAATGATACAGGTTCGAGCCGGGCTGTATCGGATTTTTTAGGCCCGAATGCAACTCTATTCTGCATGGTCTTCATCAATTTGGCCTGCTACCAAATGCAGATACCAAAAAGGGGGATGAAAATTATGTAACATTTCCACTTGGATTATGCTTAATGTCAAATTTATTCACGACATCACCTTATATATACGTATATTAACAGCACCTTTTATATTGGTGAGTGAATTTGATGGAATAGACAATGTCCGATATTTAACTTTATCGCTAATAGCAGCCAATACAGATACCATGCCGATAATATTGTGCATCCCAAAAAAAAAATTTTTTTTTTTAAATGGCACGCCCCGGACATTTCATAAACAGGAACTCACCATTGAAGAAGCTTTTCACCTTCAGGTAGCCGACGCTGAGGCGGAGCACCGACAGCTTGTCCAGCCGAGCCCGGACCTCCTCGGAGAAGGGCAGCAGGCTGGTGAGCTTGTCCAGCTCGCCGTTGAGGCGGTCGCGGTGGCGTTTGGATGGGTTGGACTTGGCGCCATCGGGGGGAGGTTGTTTGGGGCTGTAGCGAAAGAGAAAAAAAACAACGATAAAGACAAACGAGAAACATTTCTGTAAAAGATGTAAGAGTGATAATTTAAGTTGGACGGAGAAACGTCATGAGGGCGACAAACAAGCTGAAGGCTAAAGGTGCAATGAACGCTGGCGTATGTGAGCGTCAGAGCAACATCAGCTGGGATTAATACCAGATGACACAGCAGGAAGGAAACAAGGGGAAATATCAACAAATAAACAACTTTCTGTGAAACTTTATGCTTCCTGCAGCTCATTGTCAACAAAAATCCTGATCTTCATGTCAGATCTGATTTAAAACACTATTTATTTATTTTGCTGAAGCACTTTCTATTGGATCTGCGAGGCTAGCGTGTGTAAAGTAAAAAAAATATAGAAATAAAAACAGCACTTGTCATTTAGAGTTACTATATTGAGTGGAAAACAAGACCTAGACCACCTCGGTTCTCCAAGGGGTTAGGCTGCTTCAGGCCCCAGTTACCATGGGAACCAGGTGAACTGAATGATGTCACCTGTTCCAGGGCTTTCTCAGCCACATCATGTCGTAGCTGAGGTTTCACTCAGAGATAGTTCTGAAGCTGCTGAGGGTTTGTCCTTCTAAACAGACATGTTTAAGGCTTTTTAAAAAAATGACTCTCCTTTAAACAAAATGTTAAAAAAATAATAATCCTGACAAGAGAGGTTTTTCATCATGGGGTGCAAAAGCACTAAAAAAGGTTTAAGTTCAAGGCCCACGATTCCTTGATAGAGTGAATGTCGCCCGCTGCTTTTATTAAACTAAGATCATCTTATGATAAGAATTACCTATTAAAATCAAACTTGGAAAATAAGGTTAGCGTGATCTGATGCACTACCTCAAGAGGTCAGGCTCAGAGTATGTGTTAAGGATCACTCTCAGCTACCACATAGCTTTAGCTCAACATACGAAAGACATTATTGTCTCGACTAATGCAGATCAGATGTGGATTTTTCTATTTTAAATCTAGTAATAAAGAGCAAACTCAAAAATCAGAGTAACTTATTTTATTATTTTATGTTTTTTTGGTTGGATTTTTTTTTGTTTTTATTTTTTTGCATCAGCACCTGGTAGCACCTCAGTCTGCAGCACCCGACACTTATGTATGTGTGTGTGTGTGTATATATATATATATATATATATATATATCAATCAATCAACCTTTATTTATACAGGTAAATCCCATTGAGCCTCGAGGACTCATTTACAAGAGAGACCTGATTTCAACAAAGAAAGATGACAACAATGGACAACAGCAACAAAAATGCCAATATATATATATATATATATATATATATGCATGTGTATGTATGTATACATATAGGTTAATAATGAAGTAGTACTCCCTATCACCTTGTGTATGTGCATACTGTGTTTTTCACTGTATAAGCCACACCTTTTTGTATAAATTAGCATGCGCTGCGACTTATACAGTGAAGCGACTTATTTAGTTTTTCCCATATTTATAACCCAATTTTTGGCTGAGATCTGACGATTTCATTCATTCTGACATGGAAAATACTGAACACTACCATTTTCAGCCACTAGAGGGCCCCCGACTAATATAGCAAGCCAAGTGTCTCATTAATAGGTAAAAGTGGCTATTAATGAGACACTTGGCTTGCCATACCAAGCCACCTTCGTCTTGCTCCGGAACCCCAGGAGCAAACGTTAAATCAGCTGCATTTCGCCATTTATTAAGGAAAAATTAAACTGAGACACACCTTTACTATAATGTCGAGCAAACAATTAACTGTTTTTAGGTGGTTATCTTGTTAAGCAACAAAGTCCATGCTCCAGGTATACAATCCAACATTTTTTTGGTCAGGTCAACTGGACAGTTTCTTTTTTTTGTTTGTGCTGAAACGTTTCACCTTCCATCCAGGTTTGTTCCACTTTGGAGTAAGCTGTTGGGGGAAGTATCAGTTTTGTGTTTCCTTGACTGATGAAGCCTTCTGGATGGAAGGTGAAATGTTTCAGCACCAAAAAAAAAAGGGAACTCTCCAAATGACCCGACTGAAAATTGTTGGGTTAGCTTGTTAAATTTCGAAGAAATGCACGGCGAGTCGTCCCTCTGCGCGCTCTCGCTTCTGCAAATCGGATTTTGAAAATGCAGCTGATTTGACCGTCAAAGTGCATTTATTAAGGAAAAGTTCAACTGAGACACACCTTTGCTATAATGTCGAGCAAACAAATAATTGTTTATGTGTTAATCTTTAGGGGGTTTCCTTAATTTAAAAAAAAAAAAAAAAAAAAATCGGAAATTGACCGATACTTGCATAAAAAAACGATTTTACCGATTTTTTGTTTTGTTTTAACAACAATTGTCTAAACTTTATTTATATTTTAGAGCACTATCTCATGGCCAGTTAAAACAAGTTTGTATTGTTTCTAGGATATTGTTCAACGGTATGTTTTTCAATAAAATAAGGTTAGAAAATTGAAGGTGCATTTTGACCTTATAACACCTGACAGTGTCGCTTAGAAAACAAAATTGGTATCGGAAAAGAATCGGAATTGCCAGGTCAGACATTTTAGAAATCGGTGATCGGCCAGAAAAGTCCAATTGGTGCACCCCCTTGTTAAAGTCCTCCCATGCACGCTCCTGCGGCCGCTATTTGGCTCCCATTTGATTTTTGGCACAACACCGGCCCACGTTTCCGACAGCGAAGCGACGTGTACGGCAGCAAGTACGGTATTTGTCTTTTTTTCAAATGTGTGCATTCTACTTCTTTTTTGATTAGCCGTATGTATTTTTTCTGTACAATTAGAAAATGCTTCTGAATGCCTCGAATTCCTCTCCCCCCCCCCCGGGATTAATAAAGTATCTCAAAGTTCTTTATTGTCATTCGCATCACAACGTGGAATGAAACTGTGTACTCAAGGTCCCAGTTACATCCAAAAACAGAAAAAAAAAAAAAAAAGTATAAAAAGAAACAGTATACAAGGATTTAAGCTATAAGCTAACACTAATAATGTAAAATAATACAGTGTATTAAACAGCAGCCTGAACATGAGTCTGTAGTGAGCTGATGGGTATGAATACAGCAGCTTAAAGAGAAGAAAGCAGCAGAACATATGACCAATTAAAGTGGCATTACAGTGATTTTTAAATTTTAATTTTTAATCCATCTCTATGTTGTGGATGCCGAGTTGCTTCTTAATGGCTCTTGTCCAGTCAGGGTGCATTTTTTGCAGCATCTCCAACGTTTGTTCCTGCCATTGTATCTTGTTGTGGAAGGATAATCAAATAAAAGCTATGGTCACATGTGAGCTCAGCCTTACTGACAGAGAACGTGCATTCCCCTCCCGGCTGATCCACTGGACCAGTGGGGAAAAAAACATCCCTGGCTAACAAGATCATCAACATCAGGTCTGTGTTTTATGAAGCTTTTCAGCTGCAGGACCTCACGTTAGAAAGTTTCTCCAATTCTACCGTCATTTTTCAACAAAAACATGAACCGGTCAGCAGTCGCAGCACCTAAACCAGGACAGAGTAACCGAAGCAGAGCTGAGCCTGGTCTCCACAGATCCGATGAACACTTTGATATTTGATCATCACTGAAGGCAGACAAGTGCTTTTACTCTTTGCACCCTGCTTGTGCACATTTTAATGCCTTAAAGGACTTTTTCCATGCTTACACGACTCCATTTTTTCTTCTTCTCCTCCTTCTTGGTAATAAATCATCACAGAAAGCATGAGATGGAACTAAATCATGTACTCAAGGTCACAGTTACACCCAAAAATAGCAAAGATATAAAGTGTAAAAAGAAACGGTATACAAGGATTTAAGATATACACTAAACAAACGACAAACGGTACGCTAAAAGATCCAAGGTGCCGTATTTTTCGAACGATAAGGCGCATTAAGCGAAACAAAACAGTCAGATAAGTCAAACTTGATTAGACTCTTTCACAATAACCACATAAAATCTGTTCGAGGTCAGAAAGCAAGAGGCAATTAAAGGATTTTAAGTGCTCCTTATAGTCTGAAAAATACGGTACATGCTAAAACACTAATAATGTAAAACAATACGGCGAATCAACCGCAGCCAGAACAGACACCTGTAAACATTTGATAAACTTCATCACTCGGAACGTGGCTCTGGCAGGTCTAAACCTCAAAACGTGACCTTGTATCAGCAATTTAAGGCAATATGGGACGCCTTCATGCAATTTTTGTAAAGTAAACAAGCCGAAGTGAACGAACGGAATGGAACAAAATAAAAAAGCAGCACCCAATAAGATTAATAATAATTCATACAACTTAATATATGAGTGATACTCTATCAAGGCTTTAGAATTGGATGACTGAAACCTTTATTTTTATATTTGTACTAGGAATGTGCGATATGGCATAAAATTCATATCACGATATGTATTGTGAAGGGTGGCGATAACGATATATATCGCGATAGGTTTTGGGTATAAAACTTGATAGGAATTTTTCTAAAATCATAGGGCGTCCTTTTGCTATCATATACTTCGAATTAAGAAAATTCCACTACTACGTCCAGAGTTTTTAAATAATAAACAAATCAAGTATTAGGCTTCTTGCTTGTAGTGCAAAACGATGCAAAATATATAAAATGTAGTTTTCGCCATATGTTTTAAACAAAAGAATATGCTGTTAACAGTTTCCAGTTTTGCTTAAGAAATGAACAGCAACAGAGCAGAATTTTACACTGAAACACTTCACCCTCCAAACCTCTAGTGGGCGCCTCCTTCCGCTTTAATGGAGAGCTGACATAAAATGACTGTGGCTTTGACCAGAGGGTCTCGCAGTAAAATCACACAACACAGCGTTCTTTTCACAGATCAGAGAGCAGGTTTCTCTAAAGCTGGCCAACGCTTACTTTAACTTTCGATGGGAAAAAAAAAAAAAGAACAGTAAAACTTTCGACGGAACACAGCGTTTTGCGCATGCGTCAGAATACGGCAACACTATGGCAAGCCGGCTGTAGTTAGCTTG